CTTCAGGGTCTGGAACTAAACTTTCAGTTGAGCTGGAGATTCATAGATGGATGTAAGTCATGTTAAGGAATAGTTTTTGTCTTTGGGAGCTGATTGTACCATTTGTGGGTGGGGGTTTTGTTTGTTTTGGGTTTTTTAACCTGCCTTTTGAAACATGAAAGCTGAGCAGAGCTTGGACTCTGGATGTGGTATTAGTGATGTGGTACCACCACATTCTCCTAGGCAGCAGGATGATGATCAAACATGGTCAGATTGCCATGACTGAGGTCAGACATAGTTTGTTCCTAGCTTCAGGCTGGCTCCAGCCTCCAGGCTTTCTGTATTCTTTTGAAAGCTAATTCCGAAGACATCGTGGGTCATTTATTTAACACATTTCCTGCTAATGGACTGGTATTGGAGACACAGTTAACCTCTGTTCTCTAAGGCTGTGTCACACTGTACTGTGCCTCTCGGTTGTCTGTTATAGGTCTTAAAGGTGCCGTGAGATGCAAGCACAGGGAATGGACGTGTTATGGATGTGCTCTTCAACCAGCCAGTTGCATCACGGGCATATAGGGCTGCAAAAAACTGAACTCAAGGGTTATTGTTGGCCCTTTCATTCCTTTTCCTGCGTGAGGTTGTCTTTGCAGACTTAGCATAACATCTGCTTCAGTTCTGTGTAATAAACTTTGGGAGCAGGGAGACATCTCGTTAACTCCTCAGAGCTGATTCTTGCTCAGGGCTAGAACAGTAGCATGAAAACTCAAACAAATCTTTGCCAACACCCAGAAGTTTTTGCAAACATAAAGTGATGTGTGAATGAAGTGCTGAGCTGCCACCCAGCAGATACATCAGCTGCTTTGTGGACACAGCCTACCCCCAAACTGCCTCTTTATGATTTAGCTTAATCCATGGTTTCATAAACACAGCATGCTTTGCTGGTGTATGTTCCTAATATAGATACAATCTAAGTAAGGAATATGAAATTTCTAGGTAGCATTGTGACTTGGTAACGGCGAGAAGACAACTGTTCCATGCCCAGTGAAGCTGACAAATGTAATGTAAGGTATCACTAATTTCACACTGCATTCCTGTTGTGGCTTTTCAACGTGCTTTCTCATGGACGTAAAATGATTTCTCACACAATGTATTGACAGGATGCTTCCAGCGCATTGCCCTGGATTGTAAAAGTTGGGTCACATTAATAGTATTTCCCACATTAATAGTATTTCCCTGTTTTTTGTATCACTGTTCAAGAGTTGTGGTTTTTTTCTTGCCAAGAAGGGAAATGAGACCCGTGTTGCTTCAGGCTGTAAATTATAAATGAGTAGCGTGATCATCTGTAACTTCGAAGCAAAGGTCAAAGGAATTTTTTTTTGTATTTTTTTCTGTGTTCTTTAACTGGATCTTCTTTGATGTTTACTCTGCACATACATCATGATCATTATATCCCGCACACTTGCATCATTAATGCAACTACAAATGAGATGACTCAAGTTATGAACCACCAGTGCTTCAGTCTAACACAGACAGATATGAAGGAGGAAAATGAGCTACATAAAGATACTTATTGAAGGGATTGTTCCCCGGTGTAAATGCACTTAAAGAGAGAATGACTAAATGAGAGGGTACTGTTCTTTCTGGAGTCTAACCCAGCAAATCTTTCTTCATTGATTTGTAAAATAAGAGATTGTTTTGGGGTAAAAATAAGGAATTTGAAAACTTTTCAGCAATATTTCATGATATGCCAACTTGTTTCATGAAACTGAGCTGGTAAGTGTTTGCTTTAAATGTTGTGGCACATTTAAGAACTAGTTCTGTGCCAGGACTGGAAAACTGCAGAATTCCCTGGGAAAGCCTCAGTGCTATCAAACCATGAGGACATGGGTTTTATTTGAGTTACAGACCAGAGCAATGCGTTATCTATTTTAATAGTTATTTTCTTATAAAAGTGGGTTTGTAAGAACATGCAGGCTTCATTAAAAACCCCACAGCTGATTCGGCACTGATTTACTCTCCTTTTTGGCATGATTGCGATGGGTTCCATGTATGCTTTTGCTGCTGGATGGAGAGGTGTTAGCCATAGCTCCAGGAGCACCTCCGCTGAGCAGCCCTGGGAGGCCACGGGTACCTGGGACCGGCAGCCGGATGCCATCCAGGCACACACTGCAAGCCAGCCATCGCTGGGATAACCATTTCAATTAATGCTGTGTTAAAACAAGACAAGTGCTCAGTTTGGACACGTTTTCCCATAGAGGGCATTGACCAGCACAGCATTATTTTCAAAGGTTTCTAGGGGAACGTTTGCAAAGTTAGACTCTCTTTCTCCCTAGCTCCACTGATTTTTAAGACACTTCACAAAATGGGTTTTGTCTGTAATGAAAAGGACGTAACCCTAGGGTCCTGTTCCTAACAAGTTTAAGGTGGTTTTAGACACAAGCACATCATATGAGGCTTTTCAAAGCCTTCCACGTTATGCAAAGATTATGATTTGGAATTCAAAATCAACTTAGATCTTGGTGCCTTTGTTGATGCCTTGGTGCCTTGAAACAGGAAGAGTCAAAATGGTGACTGCATTTCAAAATACTCATTTTGCATGCAGAGTAACAACTCTAATAAGAAATTTTACTGCAGTATCTTAATGTGCAGTTTTATTGCCTATTATTTTTAGTGAGCATTTATAAAGCCTTATGTTTGGGGTTTAACACCTTAGCTATTTCCCATCATAACAGGTTGAAATTTGGCATAGCAGTGGCAACCTTCATTTCAAAATTTTCACAGAAAATTGTAAACAGCAAATTGCTAATTTGTAAAGATTTTGTTAATTTCCACACTTTGAAGCCTGTCAACTTAAATGTCAAATAATGTGACATCCATATGGACCATTAGATCAATAAGAGTGTAGGACCAGAGCTGCTTCAAAGTGCACATCCTGTAGTGACACCTCTGAAGTTCTAGAACAGCCAAAAAGAAGAAG